GTGTAGGGGAGGTGTGGGGAGGTGTGGGGAGGTGTGGGGAGATTGGGGAGATGTGGGGAGATATGGGGAGATATGGGGAGGTGTGGGGAGGTGTGGGGAGGTGTGGGGAGGTGTGGGGAGGTGTGGGGAGGTGTGGGGAGGTGTGGGAAGGTGTGGGGAGATATGGGGAGGTGTGGGGAGATGTGGGGAGATGTGGGGAGATGTGGGGAGGTGTGGGGAGGTGTGGGGAGGTGTGGGGAAGTATGGGGAGGTGTGGGGAGGTGTGGGGAGGTGTGGGGAGGTGTGGGGAGGTGTGGGGAGGTGTGGGGAGGTGTGGGGAAGGTGTGGGGAGGTGTTGGGGAGGTGTGGGGAGGTGTGGGGAGATGTGGGGAGATGTGGGAGGTTGGGAGGTGTGGGAGATGCGTGTACTGACCAGGGGTGCGTTGCAGGGATGCGTGTACTGACCAGCTTATCTCTCGGCTCACCTCGGCTCCCCTCGGCTCCCCTCGGCTCCCCTCGCCTCCTCTCGGCTCCTCTCGCATCTAAAGCGCCGCACCGAGACGAGCGCCGCCACGCGGCCCCGCAGCTCGGGGAAGAGGGAGAGGGCGGCGGCGGCGTCGACCGCCCCCTTGGAGTGGCCGAGCAGCACGACGCGCGCCTAATCTCGGCTCAATCTCGGCTCAATCTCGTGCGATCTCGACCGCCCCCCCCCGCTTGAGTGGCCGAGCGGCACGACGCGCCTCTGGCTCCCCTCCAGACAGCTCCAGCACCTGGGGGAAGGTTCCGAGAAGCGTCCCCTCCGCCGGACATGGTGCAGTGCGGGAATGACCGGGCGATGCGGGCGGGGTGTGGGTCGATCTCGAGCGATCTCGGTCGATCTGGGTCGATCTCGAGCGATCTCGAGCGATCTCGAGCGATCTCGAGCGATCTCGGAGACCGCCTCGTGCATCAGTCGCGCCGCGTTGACTCTCACGGGCTGGTCGGTGTCGATGCGCGAGCAGGTCAGGGTGAGGCCGAGCCTTCGATCTCGCGCGATCTCGGGTGAGCTCGGCCGATCTCGCGGTGCGGGAGAGCGGGCACGGCGGCGGCAGCGGAGCCTCTTGAAGTCGGCGCGCAACGTCGCCATGTAGAGCGGGTACCACTTTGTGAGCAGGCCTAGACGAAGGCGAGCTGACGGGTGCCGCTCACCACGTCGCCATGCAGAGCGGGTACCACTCTCTTTGTGAGGTTGGCCGGGGACGAGGAGGTAGGAGAAGCGGCGCATCGCGCGCGCCTGTGAAACAAGGGCCAGCAGTCAGGGACTGGAACGTGCTGGCCGGTGCGGCGTCCGCATCCCGCGCGCCCCCGGCAGCAGCGAGAGGGAGGAGGGCGAGAGGGGCGGCGGCGGCGGCGGCGCGGACGGCAGCGCGAGGCGGAGGAAGGCGGCGGTGAGGTCCTGCGAGGGAGGCTCCCCCCGCAACAGCCACCTGTACCCACGCAACCTCGGGGGGTGACCTCGGGGTGTGATCTCGGGCCATCTCGGGGTGTGATCTCGGGTAATCTCGGGTGATCTCGGGGGTGATCTCGGGGGTGATCTCGCGGCGCCCAATCGGCTGTGATCTCGGGCCATCTCGGGGTGTGATCTCGGGCCAATCTCGCACCCGATCCGGCCCGTGCAGTACGGCTTGAGGTTCGGGTTCGCGCCAACCCACGACTGAAGCTCGACCTGCGCGGAGATACGCCCGAGATCGCACCCGACCCACTATTGGTAGGGGGAAGGTGCTTCCTCTCACCCTCCC